GGGCTCTAGCTGGAGCAGATCTCCATCACAAGCTGCTGAAGCAGGCCACCAGGCATGCCTGAAGAGACAGCAAGGCCTTAAGCTGTGGGCCCTACCCACACACGGTTCAGGGACTCTCTTTGCCACCCATTCACCTGCATGAGGTCTGGGGTGTTATACAGCAGTTCAGTATCTATGCCCTAAGCACCATCCATGCAGAGGCCAAAGGGACTTCCAAGCCAAGGCACCTTGTCTTGGGGAAAAGGGGCTTCAATTCTGCTCACTGCATCTTGAGGCCCTGCCTTACCCCAGTGCCTGGGTTGCACAGGAAGCCCAATAACCTTGCTTACCTCTCAAATTCCAATGGTATTCTGTGTCCCTGGTCAGAAACCGAAGCCACTGCATTCTAGAAGGGTGCGTGTAGTTGTGAACCATGTCCTTGATTCCAGTCTCCAAGGTCTGAAATCCTTCCAAGAAGGAGATGATCTTGCCTTTTATCCCCGAGGACTAGGCTAATCCCTGGGGAAGCCAAGAAAGAGATGTTGAGGACACCTGCCCAACTCTATATTTACGTCCAGATGTCTGCTGAGGATTAGCACTCAACATTTATGGTGGCAGGGGCCCTGCAGCCCAGCACCCTGTACCTGTGGTACAGCACCCTGTACCTGTGGTACAGCAGTTACCACAGGTCTGGTGGTGGGACTTTCTACCCTGGCATGTGTGCCCTGAGGGGCCATGGCCTGTGAGTTGTGCAATGAGTTGTCTGTAGCCAGCCTTGGACAGCTAACTCCTGACCCCAGGATAAGGCCACTCTGCTGATGGGATAGAGGGGGGCAGCCTACCAATCATTCCCTGCTTACCCATCGCAGCCATCCTCACTGTCACAGTGACAGGACAAGACAAAGTGGTCACCAGGTCACTCCCAGGCAGAGGGGAATAGGACCGAGATGTCCGTGTAGTAGAAATGATACCATTCCTGAGCAGCCGGTATACCTGAGGAACAGGCCCAGTAGACGCAGTCGTCACTGATACTATCACACCGAGGGTACACAGGGTTAGGTCAGACACGGCCCACTGTTTCTCCTTGCTAGAAAAGCCTGCTGAAGCACAGCAGCATGCCAGCACCCTCACCTCCTTGACTCCCAGCCCTCACTAAGGTTGAATTTGTGAGAGCATCAATGTTCTCCCAGGCAAATGCATCACGTACTTTCAGATGTTGGGGCATGGCATTTGTTCTGGAGGCAGGGTAGATCATTGTAGGGTTCCCCATGACATGGATCAGGGTAATCCAGCACTATGTGACTTCAGTGTCCCTGTGTGTCCAATGAAGACAGAAGTCTGTTCCCCTTCTAAAAAGAGAGAATTTTTTTAGAAGCTGGACCCGTTGACTCTCATAACTTCAGAGTTGAGGTCAAGTCCCCAGCCTGGCAGTTTCTAGGGTCACATGTCCTCATGACAGGCTCATAGCCACTCCTTACCTGGAATTCTACTTGGCCCTTCTTCCTGAGGTGCCCTACAACCGAGCTTACGACTGACCTATAAAGTTCCCTTTTACCTCATAAGCCTGGGCTCCTAGTAGTGTCTGGTTGTTCCTTTAGCAGTGACACTGAGAGATCTGAGAAGTCCTGACTAGGTACAGGGATTAGGAGAAATTACATCATGAGGTATCATCTGAGACCAAACCCAGGAAGATATCCCAGGCTGAAATAAATGTTAGGGAGCCCATACCCAAGACTGACAATACCCAGACCTCCACCAGTGTGGGCTCATGTCGCATAGAGTGACAGATGGGGAGAGTTAGCACTCAGAGTGCATGGGCACTGCCATGGTGACTTTAATAGAAGCACAAGCTGCCAGCAGAGCACCCCCAGGGCACTCAGGAGTGGCATCCCCCAGGATACTGACTTAATTAGGTTCTGGCAGGAACAGACCAGGCAGATAGTACTGTGGGCAGTGACATCCCACACCTAAGCAGTGTTCCTTGGGAGGAGTGGGAATGGACATTCAGTAGCAGGAGAAGAGCCTGGGTTAAGTTGTCTGAACTAGAGTAACTCATATCTCCCAGTATTTCTGGGGCTGGAAAAAGGAAGAAAGGAAGGCAGATAGATAGATAGATAGATAGATAGATAGGAAAGGAGGGAGGGAGGGAGGGAGGGAGAGAGGGAGGGAGGGAGGGAGGGAGGGAGGGAGGGGGGGGGGAAGAATGAAGGAACACTGACTGGCCTCTAATTCAGCCCCTTTCCACGCCTACCTGGGAAAGCCTGAAGGAACAGCTAATGTTCTGGCACCATGAAGTTCAGCTTCATGTTTTACACTTGATCTGGGCCTCAGAGTATGTGTCTTTCCTTCTTCTTGGCCTGTCCCACACTCGCTTCCCTAGGTGCTCCTGGTCCTGTGAAGGGGAGGCAGGCTGGGGTAGCATAAGAATGTCCCCTCTTATTGATCAACAAGAGGCCCCTGTGGTCACTATTCACTAACTACTTTTTGAGAGATACCGAAAGGGGTTGGAGAGATGACTCGGGTGATTGAGAGCACTAGGTAGTCACGCTACCCTGGTAGGTATGTTAGTGCTTCCAACAAGAACAAGCGGGTCGGAGAATGGCTATGGCCCAAACTCCGGCTGTTGTTTGCATTCGAATTATTTTAGGGTTACTATGACTGTAATGAAACACCAGGAAAAAAAGCAATTTGGTGAGGAAAGGTGTCCTAGTTAGAGTTTTTATTGCTGTGATGAGACACCATGACCACAGTAATGGCGGTATGCAGGCAGACGTGGTGCTGGAGAAGGAGCCAAGAATTCTACATCTGGATTGGCAGGCAGCAGGAAGAGAGAGAGACAGAGACAGAGACAGAAACAGAGAGACAGACAGAAAGACACTGGGTCTGGCTTGAACATTTGAAAACCCAAAGTCCACCCCCAGTGACACACTTTTTCCAACTAAGTCACATCTACCCCAACAAGGACACACCTCCTAATAGTGCCACTCCCTAGTGACCAATCATTCAAATATATGAACCTATGGGGTCATTGCTATTCAAACCACAACTAGAGGATTTATTTGGTATACACTTCCACATCACTGTTCATCACTGAAGGAAGTCAGGGCAGGAACTCAAACTGGACAGGAACCTGGAGGCAGGAGCTGATGCAGAGGCCACAGAGGATTCTGCTTACTGCTTTGCTCCTTACGGCTTACTCAGCTTTCTCTTTCTTTGTTCAGATAAGGTTTCTCTGTGTAACACTGGCTGTCTTGGACCTCACTCTGTAGGCTGGCCTGGAACTCAGATCTACCTGCGCCTCTGCCTCCCAAGTGCTGGGATTAAAGGCAATCATCACTCTGCCCAGCATCTTTCTTATAGAACCGAGGACCACCAGCCCAGGGGTGACCCCACCCACAATGGCCTAGGCCCTCCCACATCACTCACAAATTAAGAAAATGCATGACAGGCTTGTCTACAAAACAACAAAAGTGGCTTAAATTACCTTGATTAGGGACCACAGAACCTTGGGGAAGGAAGAGGCAGTCTGTGCTGATGTGCTTTCTGAGTCTGACAGTGGGAGAAGCCACGGATCTCCCAAAGATAACTCCCCAGAGCTGCAGCAGCCCAGATCACAACTCAGGTGGGTGGGCTCATCTACCACCTGACCTGTGAATCAATGGCCACTACTGGACTCATGGTGCTGAATCTCAGCCACCCATTGTCAATAATCAGTGAGCCCACTGCGGATGCCCAGGAGCAGTTAGGGTCACGGTGAAGGACAAGACCTTAAAGTTGAACAGCAGTTCTGCCCTACATATCTGGTTGGCCAGGCACTGCCAATGACTGCTGCTTCTTTGCAGCCCAAACTTGCATCCCTGGAACAGCTTGAGGACACCCCAAGGACTGGACACTTAGTCCAGTCTTCAGCTGCTTCTCAAGTGACCAAAGAGGATGTGAGACCATCTGGGTCCTTTTCTCCAGATCCCAGCCCTTACTTGCCCTGCAAGGTGGAGTCCCAACACTTGCCATATCCAGCTTGGTTTCCTGGAACCTACACACACTGGGTTCACAAGCAAATGGAATGGGAAGGTGCTGGGTCAAGAACATGGGATGTGTGTGACAAATATGTCACCAACCTAGGAACAAACTTGAGCATCCCAGGAATGCAATGGTGAGGCAGGAAGGTGAGCATGAGGGACTAGGAAGTCTGGACATCTATCAGCCTCTCTACCTAGCTTCTCCAGCTGCCAGGATCCGAACTCGTATCCAGAACATCCTCACTGGCAGTCTCATGCCTCAGCCCCAGCCAGATAATCTGGCTAAGTGACCAAGCTGTGACACCTCCCCTCCCCTGGGCCAGGAAGGAGACCGTGGGAGAGGAAAACATGTCTTAGAGAAATGTCCTCGAGCATAATGACGGTATTCATGAGCTGGATGGAAAGCTTGGTACAAAAACACAGGAACTATTTTTTACGAGGACGGCTGTCCTCAGGGCTAGGAGGCTGTCGCGGGGTTGGCTCTGCCTGTGACCATGAGTTGCGCTGTACACAGGGATCTTCAGGGCTAGAGGGGTAGCGAGAGCAAGCGGGATGACCTTTAAGCCCGGAACCCTGGCCTTAAGAGCAGACTAGTGGATCCTCACGCAGAAGGTGACCGGTGGCAGTCTCAGATCGTGGTGAACTCACAGGTCCCCGTCCCGGACTGGCCCGAGATTTGGGGACGGGAGCACTGCGGGGAATCCTGCAGCCACTTATTGTTCCTGGGGTGCCAGCCAGCCAGTATCCTGTCCAGGGAGCGTCCTGGACGAGACAGGCAACCAGCCCAAGTCTCTGAGACAGAAAGGAGCCACGTCCGTCCCCGCCTCGGCCCCGTCCCCACCCCTCGCCCCGCCCCCACCCCTCGCCCCGCCCCCACCCCTCGCCCCGCCCCCCACCCCTCGCCCCGACCCGTCCCAGCTATTTCCCAGTGCGCACGCGCCAGCAACCCTTTGCGCAGCGGCGGGACGTACTTACTCCCAGACAGAGAGGAGACGCCCGGGACACCCGGGGACGGACAGTAGAGCCCTTCACCGAGCTGCCTAGAGAAGCGCTTCCCCTCGCAACGGCGCACCGGAAGCGGAAGCGGCGCCCCGGCCACCCCCCCCCCCCCCCCGAGCAGCCATCTTGGAAGCCGAGCGGCGGTAGCAGCCGAGAAGCTGCGGCAGGTGCGGTGGGGCCGAGTCCCGGTGCGGGTGCGGCTCCCAGAACGGCCCCCACTCTTCCGCACCCTGCTCTGGCGTCTACCACGGCGAAGCTGAACGCGGCGGCGGCCTCAGGGAGAGGTGCTGGGCGCTCGCTCGCGGGCTGCGCGGGGCCTCGGGCCCGCTCGTTCGCCCCGCCGGAGCCGGCCGCAGCGGCGGGCGGGGACTTGGGGGACTCCGCACGGCGGGTCCGGTTCGTTACGTCGCCTGCTGTGCCCCGACCCGGACCGGAGCGTCCCTTCGCGGACCCGAGGTCGGTGACTGAGGGCGCCCTGGGGTTCCCGGCTGGGGGTTGGTGCCTTGGGCAGGGAAGAGATGGGGTTTGCCACGCGGCACCATCTCCCACGGAGAGGCCTGTGGGTTGGAGCACTCGGAATAAATACTTCCAGGAGTAGCCAGGGTCGATCTTTAAAAGCGTTTCCGGGAAGTTCGAGCGGTGGGGTGGCAGCCGTTAGAACCTCAGACTTGCTTAGTAAACCCCGACAGAAGCGAGCGTGGCCACCGTTATGCCCTTGGAAGTAACAGAACACCGGAAAATAAGAGTGGGACTTGGGATCCGAACAAGAGACCCTGCCCTGTGCGGGGGGTTGGGGGAGCGGGGTGAGGACAGTGGGGACTTACTGTTTACTTTCACCAACTGCAGACCCTCAACCGATGACCTCGCCTCCTAATCGCTTAGTCCAGTTCTCCGACCCAGATAGACAGCTAGGAAGAGATAAGGCAAGGCCTTATTGTAAGCTAACAAGTGCAGAAAAGTAGCCTTTTTTGTAAGCTGTGATACAAGGCTTTATTCATTCCAGGCGTGTGACATGATAATTTAGCTTAAGCAAAAAAAATAAGAAAAAGAATGTTAGGATTTTATTTAATTGGAAAGTCCTGTGTATGAGCTTCCAGCAGAGCTAGGTCTAGGTGCTAGAACCCGCACTCATTCGGCTGCACATCACTGTGTTCCTGAACTCAGTGTCAGCCCCCTCTCAGGTGTGTGTGGGAAAGTGGCAGTTGGACTGCTGCTGTGAGCCCCTGGCTCCCTGGAAACCCTGGCCTGGCCTTGGGTGTGTCAGGCCAAGGTCTCATTCCACACCATCACCTGACCTGTCTGTACTGGTGTGGGAGAGTTGTCCAAGAGACACAGTGATGTGGGAGAAAAAAGACTTACCTTGCTAGTGACTGGCTGCTTCCTGTCACCTGCAGTCCCTTAGGAGAATCATGAAAGAAAGTGTTGTTCTGAATGAGATAAAGGAGGAGTAGTTAGGGCAACGGAGGAGTCATAAGTATGATTTTGTGTCTAAAAGCAAGTTTGAAGCTGGGCATGCAGCTCAGTGATAGAACTCTTGCCTCCCTTGCTCCTGTGAGGTTAATTTCCAGTGTTGAAAAGGCAAAGAAAGAAAAGTTTAAACCAGTCATAGTGACACATTTGGTTAATATCAGCGCTTGAGGGAGCAGAGGCAGGGGGAATCTTCGAGCTTGAGGCCAGTCTGGTCTACAAGGTGAATTCCAGGACAGGACAGCCAGAGCAATACAGTGAGACCTTGTCTCAACACCCCCGAAACCAAAAAAAAAAAAAAAACACAAGTATGAGAGGGACCTTGGTCTTGTGACTGACCAGATAGGATTGGTTTTCAGTTTTGGTTTTGATTGATTGATTGATTGATTGATTGATTTTTAGTAGCTCTGGTTATCCTGGACCTCACTCTGTAGATCAGGCTGGCCTCAAACTCACAGAGATCTGCCTGTCTATGCCTCTCAAGTGCCAGGATTAAAGATGTGTGTTACCACACCTGACTTTTTTTCTTTTTTAAGAGACAGGATCTTATGGTATTCTAAGCTATATAGCCTAGGCTGACTTTGAACTTACGATTCTTTACCTCTACCTGTCCAGTGGTGGGAGTACAGGTATGCACCACCGTGCCCTGTTTATTGTGGTGCAGGAATCAAACACAGGGCTTCAAGCATGCTAGGCAAGCACTTAACCAACTGAGTTACATTTGTAGCCTGGCGCAACTAATCTTGCTAGTTTCCTGTGTGTCCACTGACTTTGGTTATGCATCCTATCTGATCACTTAGCTGAATCTAAATCAGTTGTTTTGGAATTACCCACTGAAATAATTTTGTATATGTTGGAGTATTAACTTCAAGGGTGAACATAAGAGAAAGAACAAGTCTTGTGGTTCTGCTTGTGGATCATTGGCTATTGCTTTGTTTCTTACTAGGTGCTGGGCAAGTTGAGCTCTCTGGCCCACATGGCTTCTGAAGCCAAGAACTTGGGGACAATGCTTTCTGGAAGCATTTCTTGGCCATGCTGGACTGTAACCTTGTTCCTGGTGTGAGCATTCTTGGAAGCATCAGGCAAAAGCCCTTGATTCTGCCAGAAAGGTTCTGTGCACGATACTCTTAGACCATGGGGGTGGTGGTGGTGGTGGTGTGGTTGACGACCGACAAAGAGATGTTTATTTGACTAGGGAAGTCAGTGAGGACCCTGATGGATGTAGGTGTGTTTCCTACCAGTCCAGACTGGGCTGTGAAGGTTGGGCTGTCTCAGGTGCTGAGAGCTGGGTCTAGATGGGCTGTCTAGGGGTGTGGCAGATAAAGAAGCTGCTGCCGTTCTGTGCTGTCTCTGGTGGGGAGTGGATGGTTAAGCTGCCTTGAGTTGGTGCACACGATGAGTTGAAGTGTGAAGAGATTGGCGGTTCTTGTGGTTGACAGGAAAGTAATGTGTTTCTGCATTATGGTTGTTGGAATTGGAAGGAAGTGAACAAGTAAAACGTGGACTAGGGTTCATCCCCCACTTCCCCAAATGAGAAGCCACATGAGAGGACTGTGGTGGATACCCTGGCTGAACTATCCCTCTGCAGGCCCTGAGGGTAGAGAGTAAGTACATACCAAGCCCTGGTTGTCCTGAGGTATTAATACTCGTAGAGGAGGCAAATGCAGAGGTCTGAGGTGATTGTGTCTACCAAGAAATTAGCCAGGCCAAAGGGCTAAAAGTCGATAACTCTCAAGTAATATGCAAATACTGAAGAGAGTGAAAGAACGTGTGGCTGTCTGCTATGAATAAGTCATACAAGACTAGGATAGGGTTGACTTTAGATTTATCTAGTTTGGGAGGTCAGAATGGGGAGATCACAGCTTTGATGTTTGATGTTTGCTGATGTCTAGGTCATGGTTGAAGTGTCCAGACAGCACTCTGAAATGGTTTAGGGATAGCGAGCGGTAGGAAGAAGTGGAGGCTGTGCTGGGCAAACCTGGATCTTTAGTATCACAAGATACGGCCATCTGTAACTGCCCATGTCCAGCCTGCTCTTTTTGTAGCCAAGCTCATTTCCTGCTTTTTTCATCTGAACTTAAAATAAATATATTTATTTATGTTTGGTAGTGGGGAGGTGTATGCTGCAGCATGTGCATGCAGGTCAGAGAACAGCGTGTAATAGTTCTCTCCTGTCATACAGGTCCTGGGAATTGAATTCAGGTCATCAAACTTGGCAACAAGTATCTTTATCCACTGAACCATATCACCAGCCTGTTATCTCCTCTCTAATTTGTATATCCCCAAGTGGCCCCTCAATTGTATTTTAGACTAGTAGTATTCAGACTTTATTTTTAGTTGTAGATTGTGTTAGTGTGTTTGTTTCTGTCTTAAATCATGAGAAAAGAGAGCAAGTAGGAGCTCTTCTGACACCTCTGGCAGTGGAAACACTATTCCCTCCATCACTGCCTCCTTCTGGAGTAGAGCTAAGTGGTCTGAGTCCCTCATTCAGTTCTTTTTTTTTTTCTGAGACAGAGTCTCACTATGTAGACTGGGCTGGCTTCAAACGGAAGAGTTTTACCTGCTTTCGCTTCCCAAGTGCTGTGATGTGTAAAAGTTTTTATGTTACATGTATTTATTGTTTGTGGACGCATGCATGCTTGTGCATGAGTGTGCATGTATGTGGGCTTGTTTGTGAAGGTCAGAGGACATCTTGAAGCAGATAGTTCTTTTTCTTCCACTATCTGGATTCTGATGATCAAACTCTAGATGTAAGTTTTTGTCCTGCTGGGTCTTGCAGCCATTCAGTCCCAAGAAACACCCAGAGGCTTATATTAATTATAAACTGTTTGGCCTGTTAGCTCAGGCTTTTTATTAACTAGCTCTTAGCTGGGCAGTGGTGGCACATGCCTTTAATCCCAACACTCAGGAGGCAAAGGCAGGCAGATCTCTGTGAGTTCAAGGCCAGCCTGGTCTACAGAGTGAGTTCCAGGACAGGCCCCAAAGCTACAGAGAAACCCTGTCTTGAAAAACCAAAAGAAAAAAAAAAGAAAAAAATAACTAGCTCTTACAACTTAAATTAACCTATAATTCTTGTCTATGTTTAGCCATGTGACTTGGTATCTTTTCTCAGTATGGCATTCTCATCTTGCTTCCTCTGTCTCTGACTTGTGACTGCGTCTCTGCTTTTCCTCTTCCCAGAATTCTAATCTGCTTGTTCCATCTATACTTTTTGCCTGGTACTGGCCAGTCAGCATTTTATTAAACCAACGGGGGGGGGGCAATCGAGTGCCAAATCATTGCAGTGTACAAGAGCATCATCACACAGCAGAACGCCACCATCAGTCTTGTTTGGCATGTACTTTTACCTGCTCACTGAGACATCTCAAAAGCCATAGTCCCTTCTTAGCATTGTTGTGGTCTCACTGCCTGTGTGTCCTTCACTGCTGCCTTGTGTTGAGGCCCCAGAGAGACCTTCCTAGTAGAAGTTCCTGACCTATCTTAGGGTTTCTATTGCTGTGGAGAGACTCTATGACCATGATGACTCTTTTAAACAAAACATTTAATTGGGGCTGGCTTACAGTTTCAGAGGTTTAGTTTATTGTCATGGTGGGAAACATGGTGGCGTGCAGACAGACATGGTGCTGGAGAAGGAGCTGAGAGTTCTACATCTATATCCACAGGCAGCAGAAGTGAATGCCTCTCTAGGCCTAGCTTGAGCATCTGAGACTTAAAGCTTGTCCCCGCAGTGATCTACTTCCTCCAGCAAGGCCACACCTGCTAATAGTGCCACTTGCAGTGGGCCTGTGGGAGCCATTCTTATGCAAACCACCATGTATACCCTAGGGCTGGAGTCTAAAACTCTTGGGATTCTGGAAATTTGGCTTTGTCTCTCTGGCTAATCTTGTTCTTTGTCCTTCGCTGTGTTTGAGCTCCTGCCTGACATGGTAACCAGTGTGCTCCCCCCTGAACTTGCCTTCTCTTCTGCCTAGTACATGTATCTAATTCTCTGAAAGCATCACATCATTTCTTTGTTCCCACTGGTGTTACTTGTGAGCAATGATAAAAAACAGGCTTCTAAGCCAGGAGAGGGCCCGTTTCTTTCCTGTTGTGAAATGCCCACTACTGAGGTGTTGGTGAACAGAGTTAAAGGACATGAAGAGTTGCTCTTTGGAGCCAGTGCAGCCTGACTTCATGCCTACCCAGATCCCACTTGAGTGAATCAGTCTGTAAATTCTTTGAGGATAAAATGCAGCTTCATGGTTCTTTCTACCTTACGTCTGTATTGGACACTTGGTATGTTGCATAAATGAAAGTGGTGATGGTAGTAGGGGTACAGAGAAGAGACTGGGGGAGGGTGTGGTTGTTGGGCTGCAGGAAGGAAGCAGAAGTGGTCATCTATGTTCTTCTGTTCTCTGTAAATAGAGATGGCTTTTCTTTTTCTTTTGAATAGATGAGCAATAACAGCAATAAGAGAGCTCCAACAACAGCAACACAAAGGTTGAAACAGGACTACCTTCGAATTAAGAAAGACCCGGTGCCTTACATCTGTGCTGAGCCCCTCCCTTCAAATATTCTTGAATGGTAAGATTCTGTATTCCTGCTGGGCGGTGGTAGCACATGTCTTTAATCCCAGCACTCGGGAGGAAGAGGCAGGTAGATCTATGAGTTTGAGGACAGCCAGGGCTACACAGAAACCCTGTCTTGAAAAACAAAAACATTACTACTTTTAGAGGTTTCAAAATCTTGAGAAGATTTTCCTGAATTAAAAATAAAAAGTATTTTGCAGATTGGAAGTTGTTAACAGAAGAAATACATGAGGGGCCTCTTTGGTGGCGTCAGAATTAACCCTGTTCCAGTGATGAAAGTCAGATGTGGTCCTTAGGATATAGTTGGCTGGTGTGGGGACTAGTTTCATTGAGGGGCTTGCTTACCTTTTCCCGGTTTGTGGGAAACTCCTTTATTATGTGCTGGTTAGAGGGCTCTAGGTTCACCCTTTGATTTGATTATGTTCTAGGAAGGACTTGCTTGAGATTGAAATTAATGTTTTTTTTTTTAATTGTGTTTTTTGTGTTTGTGGAGTGGGTGCATGTGTGCCACCACGTATATGCGGAGGTCAGAAGACAGTTTTGGGAGTCAGCTCTTTTCTTCCACCATAGGGGATCCTAGGACTGAACTCAGGTCATCAGATTGGTGGTGTGTGCTTTACCCACTAGTCCTCTTCACCGGCTCTCACTTAAGATCTGCTAGAATGAAAAAACCCAAAAGCATCAAAGGGAAGCGGTAGATGAGGTGAAGTGAACAGGAATGCAGAAAGAAGCAACTAGATTCCTGGCGCTGGGTGTTTGCTCAGAGCACCCTTAGCTCCCAACAGTGAGCTTGGACAGTCAGACACTTGGTGCCAGGCTCAGTTTGAGTGGCCATTAGGCTCCTGTGCCTGCCACCCAGTGAAACACCAAACTCCTAGGAGAGAAGGATTTAGCATGAGCCATGATGTGTGTGTCTGTCCCATTTTTGTTTAGAGTGGCGGGTATTACCCCAAACAGCAGTGTCAAGCCTTTTGTGAGAACTTTATAGTTTTAGGGAGTTATGTGGTTTACACATCCAGTAATTTGCTTCTCTCGCTCAGGCATTATGTTGTCCGAGGTCCTGAGATGACTCCTTATGAAGGTGAGTAGAAAAACACATGAATCATTCCTGTCAATGTAAATAACAGTCTTTCTGTTTGGATATATAGTAGTTAAATCAGATTTACCTGAACCTCATCCTAGTATTTCTCTAAGTCCTAGAAATATTTGTTCATTTTGGTATTTCTGGACTGTTTGTAATTAATCACCTGCATTTCCCCAGCCTCTTATGTTGATTAGAGATGGGGAAAAGACTTTTTATTTTATTTTGTGTGTATAGGTATTTGATTGCCTATATGTCTGTGTACCACATGTGTGCCTGGTGCCTACAGAAGAGGGGGTCAGACCTCCTCTTCTTACAGATGATTGTGAGCCACTATGTGGGTGCTGGGAATTGAACTCAGGTCCTCTGGAAGAACAGCCAGTGCTCTTAACCACTGAGCCATCTCTCCAGCCCTGAGTGATACTTTTTTAAAAAGGTTTTCCTTTGACCCAGGGATCCTAAGTTTTGGGTTGATTTGTTTTGGATAATGAGTGCAGGGTCTATGGGGGCGGGGTGGAGATAAATGTGTGTGCATGTCATGATGATGGTGTTTGCAGTGCCAGACACCAGAAACTTGTCTGAGCCTTAGAGCAGCAGGGTGTAGGTGAAATAGGGGAGGCATACAGGCTATTTGTCTTGAAGAGCCCTTGATACTTCTTTTGGTTAGTCCCTAACAGATGTGAAAGATGGGCTTCCAAACAATTGGTAAAAATAATATGAAAACACTTTGTGTGTTTGATGTGCTTGAATTATTTTAAGTTTTGAAGTTATTTTGGTTTTTGGTATTTGTTTTTAAGTTTTGTTTGTTTTTTTGAGACAGGGTTTATCTGTGTAGCTTTGGAGCCTGTCCTGAAACTTGCTCTGTAGATCAGTCTGACCTTACATTCACAGAAATCCACCTGCCTTTGCCTCCCGAGTGCTGGGATTAAATGCGTTCACCACTAAAGCCTGGCTGTTGTTTTGAATTTTTAAATATGTGTATGTAGGAACTTGTAGAGGTCAATAGAGGTGTTGGATCCTCTGTAGCTAGAGTTACAGTTCCAGCAGCCGTATGGATGCTTGGAAACAAGCCTCAGGGCCTCTGCAAAGGCAGTAGGTGCTCCTAAGTTCTGAACCTCTCTATTCTGTTTTTAAATTGTGAGCATTTGAACACTGTGTGACAAGACCTTACCTAGCACTCGGTCAACCAAGGTTTGTTGATGTGGGATGGATGGGCTGGACACGGGGCAAGAAGAGTGTCGCCCTGAAGGGTATATGAGCAGAATCTTGGAGACTTAACCCTGATCTTGTCACTTTGCTTTCAGCTGTTCCTATTTCCTAACCTATAACTCTAGTGTCTTATCCATTAATGCTGGTGTCCTCTGTTCTTCCATCTCCTTATCCTTTTCTGTGTTGTTCTGTGGGTCCTGTCCCTCAGGCTGCCGATTTACTGAACCCTTGTCATCCCCTCTTTACTGCCTCTCTTCAGCTGTCGCTACTCAATCAGACTTAGCCATTGGTAGCTGTAGATAATATTCTCCAAGAGTCTATAAGGAATCCTCTAAATTGTCTTGCCTAAGGGATTTCCTCAGTCCTTAGTTTGTTTGTTTGTTTGTTTCTTTTTTGTTGTTGTTGTTTTTGTATTTCGAGACAGGGTTTCTCTGTAAAACTTTGGAGCCTGTCCTGGAACTCACTCTGTAGACCAGGCTGGCCTCAAACTCACAGAGTTAAAGGCGTGCACCATCACCAACCAGCTAGTCCTTAGTTTTTATCCTCTAGTATATGGTACTGTTGATGGCCACTTCCTGTGCTCTTCCTCTTTATGTGTGAGGTATTCTGGCCTTCCTAATGGCTCCTCTGCAGCTCCTCATTTTGAGCTCGGTGACTGTCCTGTTCCTAGTACTCTTGGACACACCCATCCTAAGAGTAAAAACATGACTTCCTGTGGAAAGTTTGCTAATTTACCACTAATTGTGGATTTAATGTGATCTTATTTGTGTTTTAGGAATGTTAGGACTCACTCTAAAATTTACATGAAAGGACAGAGGACCTAAAGTAGATTCCAAAAAAATAAAAATGTTTTGAAAGAAGAATTAAGTGGAAGAGCCACTGTTTCCCGTACATTATGTGGGTCTAGCAGTGAGGAGCAAGCAGTGGTGCAGGAAAACAGATGGTAGAGCATGATGTAGAGCCCAGAAACAGTGCATATCACCAGGTCAGTCGGTGTTGGCAGAGCACAAACCAGTAGGGAAACAAAGCCTGACAAAATAGTATAGATCTGCTTTGTTGTCTGGGTTTCTGTCCCTGGACTTTGGCCAAGGTTATACTTGTGGCCCATTCATCATAGACTTCTCTCTGTGCTCTTGGTTAGGTTTGTAGAGGAGCCTTTTGCTGATTGTGTTCCATGGCAAGAACTGACTTTGGTTGCAGGGGAGAGGGTCTGTCTTGCTGTAGTCATTTTGGTAAAAGCATTCCTCTAGCAGGCATATCTTCATGCTTTGAGGTGAGACCTGTCCACAATGAGTATTTTTTTAACCTGTGTCTTGGAATTAGGGATAGAGATCAGTGGTAGAGTGCTTAGCATGTGCAAGGCCCTAGGTCTAATCCCCAGCATGACCAATCAATCACTAATGTGTATTTATACACAAAGAATCATTTCAGTGGGGGTGGGAGTAGGGGTGTGCACATATGTGTGCTAAGCTAGAGGAGGGTGTCAGGTGTCCCTGTTCCGTTGAAGCAGTGAACCTGGACTTGCAGCCAACAAGATCCAGTATCCATCTCTCTTCCTCACCCTCATTCTTAGAGTTGTAGCCATGCATGGGACCATCTTGTTTCATGGGTTCTAGAATCCAAACTCTTCATGTTTGCGTAGCAGGCTCCTAAATGTTGATCCATCTCTCTAGCCTTCATTTATGCGTTTTCTTTTGTTTTTTGTTTTTGGCTTTTTTTTTGTTTGTTTGTTTTTTTGAGAACTTGCTTTGTAGACCAGGCTAGCCTGAAGCTCATAGAGATCCACCTGCCTCTGCCTCCCAAATGCTGGGATTAAAGGTGTGCATCACCATGCCCAGCTCATTTATGTGTTCTTTAACGCAAGTAGTTAACTGATGTCCAGTAGCTTGCTGTTTTCCTATATAATTTGCACTATGTTATATCATATAGATTCCTCTTTCACCCAGCTCATGCCTGACATCTATTCATGTGACCCTTTTCTTTGAAATGCAAGTGGGTCTTTTTTTCTTCCTGCACACAAATGCTGGTGCTAGGAATATATTTGCTAGGAACCAAATGAAACAGTGGAGGAGGCTCAGTTCTCAGTAAGGGAGGAACATGAAGAATCTGGAGAGAGAAGGGGTGTTCTGTAGCTGTAGTGGGGCAAGTGATCGTTACAGACTCCTGTGGGCACAGTTGTAATGGACGGAGAGTCAGAAGCTGGGGGGCAGGCTGTGGTAGTGGGTCAGCATGGAGAGAGCAATGGGATACTGTTGGCTCAGGAAGCCAGCTGGGAACTGGATAAGGTGGTGAGAGTTGAGAAGCAGTCACACTGGCTCTTGACAAGGCTAATAAGCCTATTTTTCTTTTGATATAGGTGGCTATTATCATGGAAAACTAATTTTTCCCAGAGAATTTCCATTTAAACCTCCAAGTATTTACATGATAACCCCCAATGGAAGGTTTAAGTGCAACACAAGGTAAGCTTCCTGGTGATGCAGTGCTTTGAGCTGTCTGTGGTCATAGGAAATGTACATTCTTCCTTACAAAAGTTGTTTTCTTTCAGGCTGTGTCTCTCCATCACAGATTTCCACCCAGACACATGGAATCCGGCGTGGTCTGTCTCCACCATTTTAACAGGGCTTCTGAGCTTCATGGTGGAGAAGGGCCCAACCCTGGGCAGCATAGAGACATCGGACTTCACGGTGAGGTGTGGCAGCACCTCGCCTGGGGCCTTGTGGCACCGTGGCCTCCAATCTCTCATCCTGGTTCTGCCCTGTTCCTGGCCACATTGTAGAAATTTCTCCTTTGGCTGCCTTAGAACATGGCCCATGGCCTCACTGCCCATCTCTGTCTCCAGCTCTGCTTTTGTCCATGCTAAGAATCCCTGACACTCAGGAGACTTTGTAAGACTTGAAGGGGCTCATTTCAGTTCTCTGTTTAGATGATAGGAATCATGATCGTGTGATGTTAATTGATAACAAAAAGATAAATAAGCCTTCATAAGACATAGTTTTTGAGAGGAAAAGGCATTTTGGATGCTTTCTATAATCCTTGGCTCTGCAGGAGTCTGTTTTGAGGTTTTGTTTGCCATTAGGGTCTCATTCTTAGCATATGGTGGTCTGGAACTCACTGTGTAGGGCAGGCTGTTACTGAATCTGTAGTGACACTTTTTTTTTTTTTTTTTGGTTTTTCGAGACAGGGTTTCTCTGTGGTTTTGGAGCCTGTCCTGGAACTAGCTCTTGTAGACCAGGCTGGTCTCGAACTCACAGAGATCCTCCTGCCTCTGCCTCCCAAGTGCTGGGATTAAAGGCGTGCGCCACCACCGCCCGGCTTGTAGTGATCCTCTTACCTCAGTCTCCTGAATGCTGGGATCACAGGTGTGCACCATCATATCTATCTCTTTTCTAAGAATTTTATTTTATTTATTTTTTTTACCCCCAGACAGGGCTTCTCCATGTAACTACTCTGGCTATCCTGGAACTCCCTTTGTCGACCAGGCTGGCCTCAAACTCAGAGAGATCCATCTACCTCTTCTAGGATTAAAGGCATACAATGCCCAGCAAGAACTACTACTTCTTTTTTTAAATTAAAATTAGCTAGTCAGTAGTGGTGCACACCTTTAATCCCAGCTCTTGGGAGGCAGAGGCAGATGGATCTCTGGGTTTGAGGATAGTCTGGTCTACAGAGTGAGTTACAGGACAGCCAGGACTACACAGAAAAATCCTGCCTCAAAAAACAAAATAACAGAAAAATTAAAATTAGCTTTCTGGCTGATATTTCCTTTCTCTTTCTTCCTAGAAAAGACAGCTGGCAGCACAGAGTTTAGTGTTTAATTTAAAAGATAAAGTCTTTTGTGAATTATTTCCTGAAGTTGTGGAGGTAAGAAAGCAAAAGTTGGAACTCAGTTTTTGTCTTCCCCTCTGTTAAAACACTTATGATTTAATTGTTTCCAAAGAAAATCTGAGTCTATGTGCCTACTGCCTTTTCCCTGTAGACGTAGAGAAATTGCAGCCCTCCATGTTGTTGCAGGACATAGAGGGGGTCTGTGTTGATAGCCTCCACATTTTTGGGTGACAGAGCTGGCTCTTCTCCAGGACCTTACAGTGTAGGATAGACAGAGCCCAGGGATGGGGGAGGTCCAGAGAGATGTGTAAGTGTTGGGGACTGAGTCTGTCCTTACAGAGGCATGAAAGTTGCCAATCAGCGGCTGTCCCTCAGGTGATCCACCAACAGTGGCTAGGAGGTACATGGGTTTGTACTATGCCATGTGGAGTTAAGTGTTTCCTGATTTGGCCTGGAGTTGAGACCATGACAGTGAGCAGAAGCACCAGGCTGGACAGTGGTGTAATACTTGATGGCTCATTGTTACTCCTGGTGCAGGCACAGAATAGTAATTTTGATATCTTGTTTTTTTTTTTCACCTGTAAAGTTGGGACCAGGAACTGTCCTCTATTGGGGTTAGGATCTGCTACAGGGGAATGCAGACCTGTGTTCTGGGTGGTAACTCTGGGTTCATAAAAACTCGAGTGCTGCTCCCAAAGGAATAGGTTTGTTAAGACAACTGAAGGTTCTTATGTTTTTCTCTCAGGAAATTAAACAGAAACAGAAAGCACAAGATGAACTAAGTAGCAGGCCCCAGAACCTTCCCTTGCCAGACGTGGTTCCTGATGGGGAAATGCACCGTGGCCAGAATGGGATCCAGCTCCTCAATGGGCATGCACCTGCTGCCGGCCCGAACCTCGCTGGGCTCCCACAGGCCAACAGGCATCATGGACTCTTGGGCGGCGCTTTGGCGAACTTGTTTGTTATAGTTGGGTTTGCGGCCTTTGCCTACACGGTCAAGTATGTGCTGAGAAGCATAGCACAGGAGTGAGGCTCAAGAGCCGCAGTCGACAGTTGCTGCTGAGGGACGCAGGGGCCAGAGCTTGGTGCAGGCGGAATGGACATGCTGCTGAGCACAGGACGGCCTGCTGGACTCCTGGGCTTCACTTTTTAAAAACCTTAAAAAGAAAGCAAAAACCAAAATGTGTGATTTGGAGATTGGAGATTCTTACCTCCCTCCAGAGGCTGATGTGGACAAGAGCCACTCACGCTTTGGTTTTATTGCTTATCTCCTGTGTTGTCTTTTGGACCAGTTTAGTAAACCTGGTTTTTTTGTTTTGTTTTCCATTTTATTAGATTTCGTCACTTAAAAAATATAAAACTTTAATGCCTATCGAATAAATACTCTGTGTGTTCCTAGTGGAGTTGCTGAAGGCTTCATGATGGGGCCAGTGCTGCAAACCTCCAGTGGGGCTGAGTGGGGTAACAGCCCTAGTTGGGGTCTAGGAGAGAAGTGATTTGGCCTCATTGTAAAACTCTGCATATGAATGGGAAAAACTTTTAGAAAATGCTTGTGCTGTTGTTAAGTTAGAAGAGTCAGCTTGCTCTCCCTGACCACACACAGTGGCTGAGGACTCCAGTAAAGGCTTGGGCCGGTGGGGGATGGTCCTGGTATTACTGTCAGCCTTAATACCTGTCCCTTCTTGCCGTAGATGCTTGACTCTCCCTTATGGCCAACATCTTACCTTTTTAATGTTTGTGTTTAATGTATCTGCAGTAGTTGGATGGAAAGCTGACATCTGTAAGGGACCAGATGGAGGCAGTGACATTGTATAGGACATCAGCCATCACCAGGGGACCCAAAGAGACTCCTAAACCAACCTCATTTTAGAGACCAGTGGTGAAGCTGAAGTGTGTAACCTGTGTGATCATTTTGGTTTAGTTCTGTAATTTGCGATTAGTATATGCCCTCTCCTGAAAAGGTTTTAGTTATACCTTCATTCTTAAACGCCATGCTACCAGTGTTAATGTTCTTCCCTGGTAGACTGAGCAAGAGTAACACCTGGCTTGGGGGAGGGGTATGTCGCTGTTGCCAAAAGGTGGATTGATAATCCATGGCTGGGCCTGGGCCTGTGAAACCTGCGGCTATTGGCTGAGATGTGTCTATGCATGGCGTGGTGGCAGTAGGTGGAGCCCTGTAAACTTGAACTTCCTTTAGCACTAGATCTCAGTTCTTCCCTGGCTGTGTAGTACTCTGTTGCACCTGGGTAACTGTTTAACATCAGTTCCAAAGTTGCCTTGTTTCCTGAAGTTCTTATAAGGCAGAATGTTAGTTTACTTAACATGTAGTGTTGTCTGTGTGTGAAATCTTAATTTTATTATTATTTATTTCTGAGACAGGGTTTCTTTGTGTAGCCCTGGCTGTCCTGGAATTCACTCTGTAGACCAGGCTGCCCTCAAGTTCAGAGATCTGGTACCACTGCTGTTTGGCTGAAATCTCAGTTCTTGGCAGCCCAGAATGAAAGAAAATCTTAGTGCTGTTCTTAAAGTAGAAGTAAGAAGTCAGCCTATCTCTGACCACAAGGTGTCGCACTCAGTGTAGCAGGTGCCTTTAGCCCCAAGACTTTGCCCTTCTCCCAGCTCCTTTGAGTGCTAGAGGACCCTGTATCCACAGTGAGTTCCTGCACTGACCCCAAATAAAAGATGGCCTTTATTCCATTGGATCAAGCATGTCTAGCCATGTTTGTGTGTTGCCCTTCTTGGCAGTAGTCACTGGAGGGGCAAGTTGGCATTCTGGACTGCCTTCCATTAGATCCTGGTACAGGTGAAAAGCCTCTCCCAAAGCTCACGTCCTGTTGATATTTAGGGAGCAGTACCTTGGGAGGAAACAGCTCAGCTCTGCTACCTCTTGTTCCTCTCCTGAGAAAAAAACAATTCCCAGGCAATCTTTGGGAATTTCTTTTTTAATAGGGTTTCATGTAGCTCAGGCTGGCCTGAATTTACTATGTAGCAGAGGCCGCCTCCTAGGTACTGGGATTATAGGCCTGGCTGACCTTTGGACATGTCATTAGAGAATGGGCAGGAGGGCGCAGTCTCTTTGTGTAGTGAGCCAGTGGGTTCCTGTCAAGCTGTTTTCTCCAGGGCTTGGGGGTTGAGAGCCAGAAGTTGCTTTGGTCATCTTGGTCAGGGTCTTTGTAAACCAGAGTAGAATACTTTTGGTTATTTTCCAAGGAAGTCCTTACTGTGGTATCCCTGTGACAGGCCAAGTCTTGCCTCCTAGCCTACCTGCTTATAAACTGCAAGGCAGAGTTGGGGAATCCCATTACCAGTCACACTGAGAAGGGTTAGGCCACCAGGGTATAGGTGAACCAGGAGAGCTGTCTTCCTTGACATACAGGTATATACTAGGTACGGGTCATTGGCAGGTTCGAATGCTGGTCCTTCCTCATCATCCAGAGTAATCTCATCAATAAATATGAGGGCCAGCGGCACTTTTGAGGGCTCGAGGCATTGACAGTGTGTGTGTGCAACACTTCAGGATTAACCTCTGCTCTTCCTGGGGAGGACGATTTGCCTGGGAGCTGGAAACCCTAGCTTTGTGAGGCTTCTCTGACTGGGTGTGGCCTGGAGCTGGGTTTGCTTGCTTGGCCACCTTTCACCTTTTTTTTTTTTTTTGGTGTGGGAGTTGAGGGGGCTCTCTTCTAGAACATTCTGTTCTGATTACCAGGACCCAAACCCACTGGAACCAGTGTGTGTTGGGGATGCAGCTCCTGTTTCTTTATAGAGCAGTTAGATCCACTGGCTATGACTGCTCTTAGCCACAGCTTTTACCAGTGGGAGGTCAACTGGCTCTTGGGAATCCTGGCCGAGTCTCACAAGGGCCACTACCTCATAGTCACTGAGGCGAAGGTACCATTGACTTGGCTTGGCCTCAGCTAACCAACTTGCAGCCTGAAGGTGATTCAGAAGACCTCTTCCTCTGGGAACCTGCCACTGTATCACAAGTACTAGAGGGGGAAATTCCACTAGTCAGATGACCTGTGCCTGTGCTAACTTAGGAGAGAGGCCTGGGGACAGACGGTAGAGGTTCACCCCGTGACTGGTGTAGACAAATTAGACCAGCAGCCTCTACTTGCTCTGCTTTTGCAGAGATCAGCCTGGTAGGCCTCATGGAAGTAGTGGAGGATCACTGGCTGGGAGGGGCAGGCAACCAGGTGGTGGAGATGCTCTCCTCCAGTGCCCTGTGTTGCAGGTTTAGAGTAGGGGCTGCATCTGGTGAATGAGGTGTGTGTGAGGAGGTTTGGGAGATTTGTAGAAAGCTTCCTAAAGTGAATGAATCACTTGGGAATCACAGTGAGCCCTGAAGGTATGAAAGATGCCACAGCGTTGATGCTGACAGCACTCCGACCCCCACCTCTAGCTTAACTAAATAAAAATCTTGCTGAAAAGAGACCAGGGAACTGCTTGTGCAGGGGAGATGCAGCCCTGCTCCTCCCTACTTCTTTAAAAGGGGTGATTGAATCACTGGTCACGGGGGTCCCGCCCTTGCCCTGCCCCGCCTTCCAGGCAGTGGATGAGCCTTGTGTGAACCCTCCCCTTGGAGCCTGAGAGGCTTAGAAAGGAGGGAGGGCTCATTTGGTGGTGGGGCACCGGCAAGGGTACTATGCAGGAGGGGAGGTTGGTGGAGACAGTAGCTCTCTGCTGCGCTCTGGCTCATCCTGCAGACGTGCACCAGCGGCAGCCGGGCTCGTTTTTGGGCCTCGCCCCCGCGCAGGGGCTTTGAATGCGGCCGCCCCCATGAGAACACTGGCCCGGCCTCCTATCCGTAAGCCTTTGCCTGTGGAAACCGAGCCATGTGGGCCTGGACTTGGGCCACAGCAGCCCTCCTCTGGCTGCAGACTGCAGGAGCGGGGTCACGGCAGCTGGCCATTCGTGTGGAGTCCCCTAATATCACCACACCCAACCGCGAGGGATTGCCAGGCTTCTTCAAGGTAGGTGCGTGCTGGGGCGCATGTGGGCGCGTGAGTACAGCTTCAAAGCTTAGACTGTCCCCTACTTCAACAGCTCTGCTCCTATTCTTCCTGGGGAAGAACCTGAGCACTGCCTGAGACCTTGACTGCTGGTCCTGGCTTAGAGTTTGCTGCAGACAGCACAAAGGCTGGCCTGTGGGGAGCCCCCTCTACCATACCTGGTGGGGCTACAGTTAACTGTTTGAAGCCTCAGGATGCTTTTCAGTAATCGGATGCCATTAGGTATAATTGCAGTTTCAGGTGAGGGTGGGGGAAGGACTTTAGGCAGACTGGTAAATGAGGCACCTGATACAGGCAGCAGCCTGACCAGCCTGTCCCCTGTGCTTTCCAGGGGTCCTGTGGTAGTCCCATCTGCTGGGGCTTCTTGCATGAAAGAACGTGCCCTGTCCTTTGAGTCCTCTAGGGACAGGGATCTCTCCTGAGCATTAGTATCAAAGCCTCTACTGCTGCCATCCTAGGGGCCTCCAGGACAGGAAGGGAAACAGCCGTTACTCAAACAGGAACCTTCTGGCTCTGAATCTTTGACCCTTGCATCTCTCCTTCCTAGGATGTCTCTCTGGTTGCCTCTCAGCCCACATCAACCCATCTCAAGCCTAAGGGCCCATTTTCCAACTAGGCTGAGCAGAACTGAGGGAGTGTAAGCCATACGCTGGTTCCTGGGCAAGCAAAAGGGAGCGTGTGGCCCCTTATGTGGGAGTTCCTGCAGTCCTAAGTAGTCCTCATTAGATAGGTTTGTGCTGGGGGTGGTCTTGTTTCACATCTCCCTGTAGTCTTTGCCCTTGTAAGTTCCAAGGGGTCAGATCTGGGTAGAGAATTGTGGTGTATTTAGATGTTCTTGCCTCTGTCCCTGGGTGGCACCTAAGGGGGAAGCAGTGTTTTTCTGTCCTTCCTAACATCAGGTTCTTGCTTTTTCAGAGGCAGCAGACCTCACCTTGCCTACCCCCATCCCCTACCCTTGGGGACATCCAGATTTTGATCACCAGGGATAGTCTCTTCAGACTGTGGCTTGAGTTATGCTTGTATACCCAAAATCCCCCCCACTAACCTGTCGTTCATAAATATCTTTGGAGTATGTCAGGACAGAGACCAAGGGCCTGGTAGTCAATACACTAGCCTTGCTCCTCTGGATTTTCAGCCACCAGAGGTCTCTGGACCTGAACTCTCAGATGCCCACATGACATGGCTGAACTTTGTCCGCCGGCCAGATGATGGGGCCACTAGGAAACGGTGCCGTGGCCGGAATAAGAAGTCGGTAAGCCCCTGAGCTGCTGTGGAAGCCGTCTTTGTGGGTTCCCTTCAAGTTCTAAGCCCAGGGAAAGGGGTGACTAGGGTCCTACTTAGATTCACTTTGTTACCTCTTCTAGCGAGGCCTCTCAGGTCTCCCAGGGCCCCCGGGACCCCCTGGCCCTCCTGGTCCCCCTGGTTCCCCTGGTATGGAAGTCACCCCAGAGGTCCTGCTGCAGGAATTTCAGGAGATGCTGAAAGGTAAGACTGTGTCCTGCACCCTACCTCTTTCAGAAGCCAGGAGGCTCTTTCAGGGCTAGAAGGGGCCTGACCCACAGTGGCCCTCCCCACAGAGGCCACGAAACTTCGATTCTCAGGGCTACCAGATACATTGTTACCCCAAGAACCCAGCCATCAGCTGGTGGTTGAGGCCTTCCACTGCCGCTTGAAAGGTCCTGTGCTGGTGGACAAGAAGACACTGGTGGAGCTGCAAGGATTCCAGACCGTGAGTGGGGCCTGGGCCAAAGTAGTCCTTTCATCTTTGGGGATTCTAAACCAAGGAGATGGGTTATAGGGGTGGGCACCTACTGGCAAGATGGGCCCTCAGACACCACTGGACACGTGCCAGTTAGGAGTCTGAATGTTCCTCACCTTATACTAAGTCAGAAGTGGGGCCTAGAGTTGCCACTTCCTATGATAGCTTTTGGGGTCCTGTTTACTCCCTGGAACCTAGAACCGTTGCTCTAAGGACCACGTGGGTGTAGATACACAGATCAGGCCTGTCCTTTCCACAAAGAGAACGCGGCTCAGAAAAGACCCATATGGGGTTGGGCTATAGCTACTTCCCTTGGCTAGAGTATTTATGGTGAGGGTCCAGGCCCTGAAATCCAGCCAGTCACCTCCCAATCTCTACAGCCTACTGCCCAGGGTGCCTTCCTGCGGGGATCTGGCCTGAGCCTGGCCTTGGGCCGATTCACAGCACCAGTCTCTGCCATCTTCCAGTTTTCTGCCACCCTGCACATTGGTGAGCCAGCTTGTGTGTGCAGTGTGGGTGATGGGTCCCTCCCCCAGGCAGACACTTGAGTCTGTTCTAGGCAGTGTCCAGAAGGCTCCTATCTACCGCTCTCTCCACAGACCACAGTGAGCTACAGGGCAGAGGCCGGTTGCGTACCCGGGACACTATACGTGTCCTCATCTGTATTGAGTCCCTGTGTCATCAACACACGTGAGTCCTGCTGCCCACAGTGGTCCTCTGGGGTCTGTCCTTGGACTGAAATCAAAAGTAGCCACCTTGAGGGGTATATGAGCACCATGGGCCAGTGGCCCCTACACTGTTGCCCTTTGGTGCTATGCCTAGGTCCCTGGAGGCTGTATCAGGCCTGGAGAGCAACAGCAGGGTCTTCACAGTGCAGGTTCAGGGGCTGTTGCAGCTACAGGTAAGGGTGTAGGCTCAGGGAACAGGCGGGTGGGCTTCTAGCCTGGGAGGGTCTTACAGCCTTGTGCAAGTAGTTGCTTAGGACCTGTGAACCCTTGTGCCCAGGAGGGTGCTGCCTGTTCAGGAGGATTTAGATCTGTGTGGGCGGGAGTATTGGCTCCAAATGCTATCCCCATGGATGGGTAAACCTCTGGGCTGGAGCCACCCGCTTGTAACGATGCCCACTGTAATGTCTTCAGTCTGGACAGTATGTCTCTGTGTTCGTGGACAACAGTTCTGGGGCCGTCCTCACCATCCAGAACAGCTCCAGTTTCTCTGGACTGCTTTTGGGTACGTAGGGGAGCTGAAGACACGATGATTGAGGAGGAACTACAAAGGACTGCTCCCCAATTAATAATTGTCATGACAATAAAGAGCTCCGGGTTTCTCCATCACTCTGGGTGCTGTCTGGTTATTGTGTTGGTACGGGAGATGTACAGCAAGCAGGAGATTGTCGGAATGCGATCCCAGGGACCAGAGTGAAATCCCCTCACAGGGTCTCTAGGCAGATTTCCAGCCAGTGAGCGGGAGGATGGGGGAAGCCAGCAAATCTTCGTGAGCTGGAGACTGAGTTGACCTTGAGGCAGAGACAGGTGATCTCTGAGTTTGAGGCCAGCCTGGTTTACAAAGTGAGCTTCAGGACAGCCAGGGATACACAGAGAAACCCTGTCTCAAAAAACAAAACAAAAATTCAAAGTCTCTTTTTAAAGTTCAGATTTTTGGGGGGCTGGAGAGGTGGTTCAGAGGTTAAGGGCACTGACTGCCCTTCCAGAGGTCCTGAGTTCAATTCCCAGCAACCACATGGTGGCTCACAACCATCCATAATGAGATCCATACCCTCTTCTGGTGTGTAGGCATCCATGCTGGCAGAACACTGTATACATTTTTTAAAAAGAGTTCAAAATTTCTCTAAAATACTCAAGACCTCATAATTATGGGTTTCTGTAAAATCAAAAAGCAAGTTAAATACTTTGTTATTTCAAGGGAAAAGAACTAGGGTACAGTCAAAGCAAAGTCCAAGAGTATAAAAAGTTCAGTGCTTCATATCTGGGAAGGGTCTTGGCAAGTCCCCTTCTGGTTTTGCCATCCTTAGCACACGCGGCTTGTTTCACAGGCTCAGGCTGGCCTCCACACCTGTTGCTACCCGTGGTGATTATCCTGTGGCCCTGGTGTCTCCCGAATGCTGGGTTCTCTGCTGCAGCTGGGCTGTACCTCATTAGCAGCCTCTCCTGGGCTCTCCGGGCAGCTGCATGTTCCAATCCTCAACCTCTCATGACCCCTTCAGTCCTGGAGCTTTAACTACAGCTGAGGCTGCATTTTCACCAGTGGTCTCTCCTGACCTTTCAGGGTGCCCGGCCTTCATGCCTTCATAACCAATATCACCTGGCGAAACTCTTATATATTACCAAGTTCACCTGCTAGACTTGGCTGCTTCTGGGATCAGAGCTTCTGTGTGCCGACTCTGAGGAAATACTTTCAGAAAGGTTTTCCCTCAGTCATGTGGTCTCTTAATCACAGCTGATCCTTTAGCCCCAGCTGACCTGTGTCAGTTATCCCAGTGAGGAAAGATAACAGCCCTAGCTGACCAGACCACAGATTCTTAATTCAAAATAGCAAATAGCTCTGATAAGTAGGCTTAAGGGATGCTCAGACTTCCCTCTGAAACTTTACAAGCCAGACATCTCCATCTTCTGTAAGTGACGGTAGCTCACTAAGCTCAGGGCACTCAATGGCTTTTCTAGCCCCAAGTTCCAAAGTCCTTCCACAGTCTTTCCTAAAACACATAGTCAGGTCTCTCAAACAGAATATCACTCACAGTACCAATTTCTGTCTTAGGGCATCGATTACTGTGATGAAACACTATAACCAAAAGAAAGTTGAAGAGGAAAGGGTCTATTTCAGCATAAAAGTCTCAGACCACACACTCCATCACAGGGAAGCCGGGGCAGAAACTTGAGGCAGGAAGAGTGCTGCTGGTTGACTTGTTCCTCGCGGCTTGCTCAGCCTGCTTTTTTTTTTTTTTTTTAAAGGCAGGACTTCTCTGTGTAGCCCCCAACTCTGTGTAGAACCAGCTGACCTCAAATTCAGAGAGATCTGCCTGCCTCTGCCTCCCACCATTTGTGGCCGGGCCAATCTTATGGAGACATTTTCTCAATCGAGATTCTCTTATTTAACTCTAGCCTTTGTCAAGTTGACAAAAACAAAAAGGAAAAAAACCAAAAACTAGTCAGCACAAGGGCCTTGTGAGGCCTGCACCCTATGAGGAGGGGCTCACAAACTGTTAGGGTTGCTGACGGGAGCAAGGCTATATAAGCATACAAGACTGCCCACTTCTTAGGTGTGCCGCGTTGGAGAGCACCTGCAAACCCAAGTGTGATTAAGACAAAGTTTGGGGTAGGGAAGCCTGTCCAGGCTAAGGCAGGAGTTCCCTTTCTTGCCACTTTCACTTTACTCAGTGAAGGCCACCACTCCCTAAAGATCAGAGCCCACAGATGGTGTGCAGGGTAGACCTAGCAGCCTGTCCACTGCAGTCCTCAAGGTAGGAGTCAGTGATTAATGAGATCCCTCTATCCCTGCACTACTTTGGCTCTGGCAAACTCCTGTCAAAGAATATAAATTAGTGTCAGGGTGTCCCAGCCTGTTGAGCTTCCAAGATAGCATCTCTAGTTGGCACCTGGGCCATCAGAAGGTGGTGCTTCCAGCTCCTGACTTTCTCAAGACAAAACCTTCTCAGGCCATCAGCATTCTGTCTTCAAGACTGAGCAGGGGAGAGTTTCCCTGGCCGAGGAATGACCTCCCAAAGGGAAGTATACGGCTGAGATATGGGGAGTCTGCTCACAGGTCTGTGGGCAATCTCTCACCCAAGGCCTTGACTGTCCTTGAGGTACCATAGGAGGGCCCTTCCTTGGGGTCTTGCTGGGCAGTGAGGCAGATCAAGCCAGGCATGGAGGTGGTGTGGGTGGCGCCAGTCTGTGTGGTAATAGGCTTGGCCACTGACCCATCCCCACCTTTCTTCCAGACCCTCACTCCCAACCCTCATGTGGCGTCAGGGGCGGGGGCTGTCTGGAGAGGTCTGTTTTTCACATGACCTAGCTTCTGTGCCTTCTCCTTTGATGCAGGATGGTGCAAAGCCTGCTAGGGTCCACACGGAGCATAAGCAGGGTCTATTGAGTAAATAGAAAGGAGCCCAAGTGTGGAAGGAGTGACTGTCCTCCCACTTGCCAATTACCGAGATCCCGACAGGCTTGAGAGTCCAGGTCAGATTGAAATATCCGGGTTTCGGGAGCCCTCTTTTTTTCCTGCTCTCTGTAACCTTGTTAGGCAGCCTACCTGCTGGACCAAGAACTGGAGCTCTCTAGTTTTCCTTCCAGAGCCCCAGCCCGTTGGACTGGGACATCCATGCATTCTCATCCCAGGAGGAGCAGGGCCTCCATCCACTATGGCAGGGAGATAGTTTGCACACAGAGTGACCTTTCAGGGCATGTCAGTGGAGATACCGATACTAAGGGCTAAGGTTCTGTGAGAGGCAAAGGAGGGACTAGGAAGGGGATGGGACAGAAGTATGGTTTGGATATCCACCCCTCTGCAGATCCATAAACATCTCATTTACATTATTAGGGTTTTCAGGGGCTGCTTCTCTGCATGGCTAGGCCTGTAATTTCTCTGTTCCACTAATAGCAGCTATTACCTTGTGCAGATCAGACTGAGGCTCGAAGCCAACCACCCAGCATGGTGGGCAGCACCAGACAGGCTCTCCTGAACCACATATAGGGCCTCCCTGCCCAAGGTATAGGTCTCACAGCTTTGTCCTTTGGTCTTGTTGGCTGCTGCAGGGTCTGTGATGCCCAGGATGGAGACTCACAGAATGGAACTTAGGGCCCCACAAAGAGATGGATGGAGATGAGAGATGAGGAGACACTGATCGGGGGCCAGCTCCACAGAGCAATGCCTGGGCAGGTGGCCAGGATCAGGGTGGGCCTTGTCTCTGCGCCTGACTCCACCTGCGTCTGTCTGTCTGCTCTTTCTCCCCATTCCTGCCCCTAATCGGAGGTCATTAGCCACTTACCTGTAATTTCCTTGGAATGTGCTGTCTCCAGATGAGCCCCAGCGGCTGGGGGCCCAAGAGCAAGTGAGTGGGTGTCTCGGGATTAGTGGAAGGCTCCAACATGGACAGAAAATCCCATGCAACCTGCCCAAAAGACAAGCAGCCAGGCTTGTACCCAGCTGTACCATATGGTTTTCTCAAGATTCACATGGTATTAGGCTCTGATATCTCAGAGATACAGGGAAGACAACCTAGCATGGCTGCCCAGCCTGAGCATGGCATGCTATGGAAGACAGACTGTCTGCAACTGCTATGATATTCAGGTGGGGGCTATCTTGAGGGTCTCAAGAGTGGGGAGAGCTCAGGGGAAGGTAATTTATTTTCTACATTCTCCCATTTTGAACTGGTTTATGAAATGGCCCGAGCGTCTAGATACGTCCCATCTTTGGCTGAGGACAAAGAAAGCATGGGCATCGCTGTGCTGGGCAGCCTTGGTTTGCTCCTGATCCCAAGCCATTGTTTTAGAGCAACTAGAGGTGCTGGCTGGCCTTGCTAGCCCCTTTGGTAGGTGACTTCCCACAAGCTCAGTCTGACACTTGTGCCTGCCAGGCTGGGACTTGGAGCTGGGGTATGAGCCACTGCAAAGGGCTCCTGACTGTCCTGGAAAGTCATATCCAACATGGAAGTGCTTGATCCGAAACCTTTCTGAATTTGATCTTGGGTTAGACCTGGCCAGCCCCTCCTAGGATCAGTGTCCACTCTGGTGTTGGAAGTACGTTGTTTTGTATCCTTGCACCCTGTCCTGGGCTTAAGCACAAATAAGAATGTGGTTCTCATGCCCAGGATGGCTGGAGAGTCCTCTTAGGGTGCATCTCAGGCTAGGAGTTGGAAGGGGTAGGCAGGGACAGGGGCTCTGGCCATGAACAAGGCTTAGCCTCTAGGACCTATGTTTTAGGTGTTGCATAGCTTTGATGGTTCCAGTCCCCACATATACCCACCCTGTGCTCTGCTTTGGGGGGTTCAACATACAGAAGAGGCCTGCTCATACTGACCTTATATGTATAGCCAGGCAGGCTTGGCTTTTGAGTAGGTCTACTCTAAGGGCCCCTTGGGTAACTTGCCACCTGCTGGGCCCCCTAAGTTTGGAAGCAGTCCAGTTTGTATATTCTGCAGAGAGCCAAGAGCACCTGGCTGGCATGTGGGGAGTCTCTCTGGAGGTACTCCTTCCCTGGATCCAGGAGGAGCCAGATCGACTAGACCTCTACCAAGTAGGCATGGGGATGGTGTCCAGAT